ACAAAATATTAAAGTCAATCTTGAATCCAAGTTTGATTCCCATCTCCAAGTTTCCCATGCCCACCCTGTGTCCAGCAGAATTCAAGGTGGGGTGATGGAGGAGGGTCATCTTTCTATCTGTTGTTTCATTGGTTAAGCAATAAAGAAACTGCTTGGCCTCTGATAGGGTAGAATTTAGATAGGCGGAGTAAACAGAACAGAATGCTGGGAGAAAGAAGCTGAGTAAGAGTCGCCATGATTCTCCCACTCCAGACAGCCGCAGGTTAAGATCTTCCTTGGTAAGCCACTTCGTGGGCTACACAGATTATTAGAAATGGGTTAAGTCAATATGTAAGAGCTAGCCAATAAGAGGCTGGAACTAATGGGCCAGTATTTAAAAGAATACAGTTTCCGTGTAATTATTTCGGGTATAAAGCTAGCAGTGCTGGCGGCCAGGTGGCGGAACGTAGCCAGCCGCCCCTATTAAACAGTGGGGTGGTCAGCCAGACTGTGATCTCAGGCTGACTGGGTCTAGAGCTCTGGTAGGTCTATTTTCCTATCTGTAAAGTGGGGAGAGTGGGCCAGAGGGCGTCCGAAGCTCTTGTACTTTTGGTCACTCCCTGAGGAGCCAGTCGGAGGGCCAATGAAGAGGCTGTGCCTTCCAGCTCTTTTGCCTGCTGCAGGGAGGACTCAGGAGAGTCCCCAGTCTCCCAGCCCCAGGGAATGTCTGAAGAATGCTGCTGATTCTTGACCCTCTCTGGAGGTAGGGTCAGGAAGGGCTATGCCAAGGGACTGTGCGCACCGCACAGCACCAGGTATGCCCAAAACACCCAGTTCACTCTTCTCTTCATTTCTGTCACTGTTAATCTTGTCACCAGACAATTTTGTTCCAGAAAATGAACATTTTGGGGCCCCCCAACTTCAACTCTCAGCTCTACACGGTGACCTGTGCAGATGAACCAGGCTTCCTGGCTGTGCAGACACCTTCATGGAGAATCGTGCGGGCGCCACCAGCCTCGTGCGCATGCAGGCTAACACCGTGCTCTTTCTCAGGAAATGTGATGGGGGGGGGGGTCATTATCCCAGGACAGAAGTGCTCATCTGTCTGTCTCTCTGACCAGGGTACAAAATAAGTGCTTTTGTGACTGTCACCCTAGGGACAGACAGTGACTCTCTCTACATGGAAGGTGAACAGCCTTCCTCTGACTCTGACGTCTTAGATCACAAAGAGGAGAAGAAATCAGAGCAAAGATTTAAGCCCCACACCCTCAAGCCCACTCCTCCCTCCTGGGCTGACTTCTTGTCTCTCATCACTGTGCCCAGCTTGCCAGGCTCCCATCCAAGGCCCAGCCCTGTCGCCTTTGTTGGCGTGAGGCAAGCCTTAGGAAATGCTCCAGCGATCACATGAGGCCTGGGAAGGGACTCTCGGATGAATCGGATCCTCTCTCTGGGGGTCAGGAACCTGAGATGGCGAGGGAGCCAGATACTCTGCTCGATCAGGGTGACATCCCAGCCACCTGCCCTGTGCTGTCAGCTGGCACCAACAGACTGTGTCCCTAGTCTGGTCTTGTGCTAAGTGCTCTTGATGCAGAAACGGGCGGGGTGGGCAGGAGAAATTCTGGATGATGGATGGGCAGGCCAGGGAGTGGCCCTCAGGGGCAGCAGAGAGGTTGTATGTGGCCCATTTGGACTGGTCCCGAGTCCTGACCCTCACCATCACTTAGCTTGGCGAGGCTGCCTCCATTCGCAAAAGGAATAAATCACAGCGGAACCCACAGCAGGTGCTGGGAAGACCATGTGAGGCATTACAAACACAGCTGTGGGCAGCTCTTGGCTCATGAACCCCAAACTCTTGGGAGATGAGCTCCTCCTTCCCCTTTGCTCTGTGGTCCAGGAGCTCAGCAGTAGTGGGGAGGACATGCATGTGTATGTACCTCTCCCTCTCTCTCTCTCTCTCTCTCTCTCTCTCTCTCTCTCTCTCTCTCTCTCTCTTTCTCGCTCTCTCTCTAGGAGCTCATCAGTAGTAGGGGAGGGACATGCATGTGTATGTAACACACACACACACTTGGAGCTCATCATTAGTGGGGGGGACATGCATGTGCACCATGTACACACACACACACACACACGAAACTTGTGCACAACTCTACAGTAATTCTAGCTATGCTCACGCACAGGTAGGATGAGCCTTTTCTATCGTATTGTCCCACTTTTGGTGTAAATCTTATCACTAGAATAAAGACAGGCGTCTAAAGGCTATTCTTCCCGACTGTGCCAGCCACAGGTCTAGGCGCTTCAAGAACTGTTGACCCTTACAACAGCCTCCCTGGGAAGGTAATTGATGACATGTGGAGACTCAGATGACTGAGGTGACTTGCCTGAACTCATGCAGCATGCCAGGACGAACCCCCTGGAATCTAGGGTGCAGAACAGTTCTGGCTGGTAGGTCAAGGGGCCAGAAGTTCAGAGATAACAAGTCATTTTCCTAAAGTCACACAGCCAGCATGTGGCAGGCCCAGGGTGGAGCAGCTTGCGGATAAAGACAAAGCAATTAATCCTCCCGCTCTGTAGTCTCCAAGATTTAGAATAAAGGTAAGCGCTGCAGGCCAAATTCTGGGCAGGGGGTCTGGAGACCCCAGCTGTGAGAGCTTGGCCTCCTCTGTTTTCAAGACCTTGGGTAAGTCCCCTCCTCCCCCTCTACCAGCTCTCCATCTGCCAAGTGAGCTCAGCACCAGATGATCTCCCAGGCTTTGCCAGTTCCCTCATTCCCTGGGATAGGGGCCCCAGCACAGGGGCCACTAGCTGCTGGGGGAAGCAGACCTTGAAGAAGGAGGTTGCCCCATTCCCAGTGCAGCTATAGTCAGTGAGCCTGCTTTCCCAGTAGGCAGGAAAGGCAGATGGGGGTGGGGCGTGGTCTGAACCCCACCTCTCTGCACAGCCTCTCTTAGGGGAGGCAGGTTTCTCGGCCATCACCTGCCTAAATCCAAAGAGGACTTTAAGGCAAGTCTCTTTCTCAGGGGAGGGAGGTGAGGCTGAAGTTTAGCCAGAGGGAGGGATGGGAAGAAATACCGCTCCTCCCACCCTGGCTAGACACTTCAGAGAAGTGCTTTCCAGGGGAGCCTCAGCAAAGTGCAGGCAGGGAGGGAGGTGCTTATGTCCCGGTTAAGTGTCCCGAAGGATGGAGAACTCACTATTCCAAAACCAGCGGACTCTATTTTCTTTTTCTTTTCTCTTTTCAAGATGGTTTCTCTGTGTAGCCCTGGCTTTCCTGGAACTTACTCTGTAGATCAGGTTAGCCTAGAACTCACAAAGATCCACCTGCCTCTTTTCCCTGAGTGCTGGAATTAAAGGTTTGCACCATCACTGATTGCACTGTTTTGTTTTTGTTTTTAGTAAAAACATCTTCCTCTGAGTTCTCTAGTCCGGCCAGCTTAGACCAAGCTTAGTCATTCATTCATTTATCCACCATGTTTGTGGGGGGCAATAAACCTGCCAAGGAAAAGGCCATTGATACCTTGGGGAATTGTTTACTATTGGTATCCCAGAGCCAGGGAGGAGGATTCTGGGTTGAAATAGATCAGCTTGAAAAAAAGGATTCAAACAGGCTTGGGAATCACTTTATTAAATGGACTTAAGTGGACGTCTTCCCTTCAAAATGTCTCCAAGCCTTTAGTAGGCAAATGTGTAACTGAGAATCTCTACAGGGGAGAATATGGGAGATTTGCTATGTTATCCCAATAAAGCCGGTCTCGGTAGGAATGCTTCCTTTTAAAGCGTGCGCCTGAGGCTAGAGGGATGGATGGCTCAGTAGCTAAGAGCTCTTGCTCTTGCAGAGTGCCTGGGTTTGGTCCCCAGCACCCTCATGATGACTCATGACCATCTGTAGCTCCAGTTCCAGGGATCTGACACCTTTTTCTGGCCTCTTGGGTACCACACATGTGAATGGTGCACATACATACATGCAGACAAAATACTCATACACATAAAGTAAAATAATTAAAAATAAAGAAAAACCATACTTATTGATAGAGGACATGAAGGAAAATGTAGCTCTCAGTATGCGTATATATCTATATTTCTCTCTCTATGTGCATGTCTTCTATGCAAGTATATATGCATACATATATACATACATACATACATACACACACATACATGGAGCTTGAGGAAGGTTTTGCAGGGAAGGTATCTAAGTGGAATCTTGGGAGTTCTAAAGACACTGATGAGGGTCTGGCTGTCCTGTCAGTAACAACAGGGAGATTTTAAGGGAGATTAGCTGCAGTTGAAGGCTGTGTTCAATTGACTACTCCAAGATTTTCATGCCGATGACAGTCAATAGGGTCATCAAGAGGCCGTGGTCTGGTCCTAGTAGCCTGTCTTCACCTTCCCCAAACACCTTTGAGTCTAATTCCCCAAATCTTGAGTTTTCATTTCCTGGTTCCACTCTCTTAATTGGCCCCTTCTCTGGTCTAAACCCAAAACGGTTCTTGCCATATTTGAACTTGATTCTAACCTTAGAGCCTCACACACCTTGACCTAACCCTTGGCACCCAAATCTGCTCTCTGGGCAATTTGCTTAACCCACACCTGAATGGCACAACCGAGACCCGGTTTTCACTCGAGATCTCTACGAACACCTGGAGCAGCAAGCCGCACCCCACAATGCCCCAAACCTGCCACTGTGGCTGCATTTAGAATAACATATTTCTCAATTTCCCACCCCACGCTAACTGCGACAGTGGTCCTGTCCTAGCCCGGAAGAGCTGAAGTCTCTCATTCTGCCTCAGCCAGCAGCTGGTCCAGCTGTGACTACCTCTCTACCCATCGTTCCCACTCCACTCTCGACCTGTCTCAGTCCCAACCCAGATCTGTCGCAAGTCCATACGATAGTGATGCCCAAGGGCCACGCCCCCTTCCCCGCCCCTCGTTCCAACCACGCCGCTCTTGCATTAAGTCGGCCGGGGCCCTCGCCCCTAATGGAACCCTGACCCCACCCACGCCCCCGCCTGCCCGCCACGCACCTGCAACTCCTCGAAGGCGTCGTCGATGCCGGTGACCTGGTGCTGCTCGTGCAGCGCGGGCTCGTCACAGAAGAAGCAGAGCAGCGCGCGGTCCGTGAGGCAGAAGAGCTTGACCTTGTCATGCGCCTGGCAGGGTCGCGCGGCGCGGCGCGCGTTGAGGATGGCGTCCAGCGGGAAGGCGCTGTAGCGCTCCACGATGTTGGCCAGCTTGAGACTGGGCGCGAGCGCGGGCTCGGCGAACGTGCGCCGGCACTCCGGGCAGTCGCGGGCGCCCTGTGCCTCCTGCCGCACCCAGTGTTCGGTGATGCAGCGGCGGCAGAAGTAGTGCTCGCAGCCCAGGCTCACCGGGTCCTGGTAGATGCTCAGGCAGATGGAGCACAGCAGCTCGTCCTTCAGGCTGCACGCCATGGCGCCGGGGGCGGTGCGGAGCGGAGCCCGGGAGGCCGGCAGCCGGCGCGGCGCGATCGGGGGCGGCACCCGGGGACCAGGCCCTCGGGGGCACGGGCGACAGGCGCCGGGGAGCGCTGTCTGCGACGCGGGGGACACGGTGGCTCGGTGCCGAGTGGGGGCCACCCGGGATGCGAGCCCCGGAGCTCGGTTTCGAGGTACTAGGTGGCCACCAGCGATGGGCGCTGGAGGAGAGAGGCCGAGGGCGTCCCAAGGAAGGGGCTCCAAGCGAGGAGGATCTAGAGGACCAGACAGTCCCAAGGGATAGAGGCTGCGAGGAGGAGATCCCGAAGGGGGGCGGAGGCCACAGTGGGGCTGGAATCCTGGGACCCGGACAGCTTTGGAAGGGGGGCGAGCTGGGGATGGGGAATTCTGCGGGACAGAGCAGCCAGACCCAGCCGCACCGCGGCTTGGCCCGGCAGAGCAGAGGAGGGGTGCCGGCCCACTCAGCTGCCCAACCCTGGCCGCAGATCCCGGCCCCGCGCGGCCCCTTACCCGCACCAGCTCAGCGGCCACCGCTTCGGTCCAGCGCAGCCTCTCAACCCGGAACCAGCCGAGCCGAGCTGCCCGGCGCCCCGGCTCCCTCTCCGCCCCCGCGGGCGGGACCCGAGCCGCTCCGCCCCCGCGGCGGGCGGGGGAGGGGCGGGGCCTCCAAGCTCCAGATCCCGCCTGGCCTTCCCAGTGTTTCTGACCCCAAGGGACTTGAAAACCAGCTGTTTTTTTTTTTTCTTTCCGGGTCTGCACAGCTGTCAGGTTTGCTTAGGGTTCTGGCAGCAGGGGGCGAGAGGACAGCTAACGCAGAAAAAGTGAGCAGATAGCGCCTAAGCAGGGACCATTTCAATGGACGGTCAATTTTTGGATGATCAAGATTTGAGGAAAATAATACTGAGTATTAAGACAAGACGATGCTGTGTTGTCTGCATTATGATGTAAAGTTTGCATAGATTGTAGGTATAAAATTGGAGACTTGCCCTGTTGGCTTAGGCTAAGTTCAAAGCTGCCACACACCCTCGGGTCTATTTCCTCTTCGCTTTCTTAGGAACGCTTTTAGTAGAAGATTGTGGAGAGAATTCCGGCTAATGTATGGCCTCAAGGGTTCTTACCATTCATCAGATGTTTCTGCATTGCTGCATTTGTGTGTGTGTGTGTGTGTGTGTGTGTGTGTGTGTGTGTGTGTGTGTAGGTGGAGTAGAAGAGAAGGAAAAGGTATAATGGGAGATCTTGTTTTTTTTTGTGCCAGAAAGAGAGGAGGTAAGGGATTTCTAAGCAGGTGTGTATATGTGTGGGGGGGGGGGGGGGCAAACGGGGGGGGGGGGGGGGGGGGGGGGGGGGGGGGGGGGGGGGGGGGGGGGGGGGGGGGGAGAAGGGGGGGGGGGGGGGGGGGGGGGGGGGGGGGGAGAGAGAGAGAGAGAGAGAGAGAGAGAGAGAGAGAGAGAGAGAGCGCCAACAAAAACAGCAGCATGAGAGGGAAGCACACAGGGATATGCGTGTTGTCCTGTATTATTGGGGTGGGATGGGGAAGAGGTTTGGGTAGGTGAAAAGTATGGGGGTCTTTGTGAAGAATTACTTGAAGGCGTTGGACTTTCAAGCAGGGAAACCTGTCTTGGTTTGGGTTTCTTGAAGTGTTGGATGCTCATTGCATCATCAGGACAGTGACGGCAAGGACCCCTTCCCCACGCATGCAATGCTGGGCACACACAAAACCGTACAGGTGAGCAACTGCAGCAGAGCCGAGGCTTGCAGGAGGAAGGAAAGGCGGGGCCCCAGGGAGCTGGTGGTTGTCCTAGTGCCTGCAAGGGGTCAGCTCTGAGCTTGGCCGCTGACTGTGGGTCAGGAGGTCATCAGATTGGAAATATAGACGCTAGGAAAGCTAGTGATGGATAAAAGAGGGTGATGGAGAGGAAGCATTGAGAGCATATTGCGTGACTTCTCCTGTGGAGACATGAACAAAGGTTTGTTCACCCCAGACCCAAGGGCACCAGAGGCAGAGTGAGCCAGTGAGTTTACTGGGATTAGCTACAAGACTAGGGGCGACTCAAAGGATCTCACCCCAGTATGAGTGACAGCTCATGAAAGTTGCATCCTTAGGGATGTCCTGCACAGCTTCTAGGTAGTTCAGCTTGCCTGAGAGTCCCTTCTCCTCATCAACTGCTTTAAGGCTTGTGTACCCTTGGGGAGGGGCTTAGTGGACAGTATAACTGTGCTCTTGAGCCTGGGAGTTTTGTTCACTCTTGGGGTCTTGTGAGCTTCTCTCCTTGGAAGGAGTATTCCATGCAGAGGAAATAACTAACCAGCAGGGTGGCTCCCCTGTGCCCGCCTCTTCCACAAGTGTTTTCACCACAGTTAAACTTCACTGAAGTGCAGTTTAGAAAAGAAATGTTTAATTCTGTTGGTACACCCTCCACTACCCTCTCTTGACTCCTGTTTCACGCCATGAGAGACAGGTTGGTGGCTCACGGGACAGCTTTTCCTTGCACTCAGAGCCTGGATTCCATTCACGTGACTATCCAATATGATCACAGGAAGGCAGACTTCAGCCTAGTTCCAGGAGGGAGTTGTATTTGATCCAAATCATGATGGTTGCATCCATATTTCAGTGATGGATTGGTCGTGGCTGACTTGGAGAGAAATCAGAGAAAGACTAAGGATTGGAAAGACTCCTGGAAGTAGTCTCTTCATGCTCTGGCTTTAGAGTAGCCATAGTCAGAGCATGCAGCCGGAGCCTGAGGGAGAGCGAAGGGTCCACAGGGCCCAAGGGGAAGGGGAGCTGCTGCTTTGATGCAGAGAGAGCCTGGACTTTTGAATATGTACGATGACCCATCTTATTGGCTAAGCAAGTTTCACAGTGGCAGACTGCCACTTGGCAATCTAAAGAATCCTGACTGGTGCCTTGACATATATTCCCTCCCCAAGAGTCTAAATTATTGAAGAAATTGGAGAAAAATGAAAAAAAAAGCTTGATGGTGTATAAAACAGGCTATGTTTTTCAGTGTGTATTTACTGATATATGTGGACCTTTACTAGGGTGCAAGATATACCATGCATTTTACAGACTTGATGGAAAAACAAAAAGGTATTCTTACACTTACACAGTGCATTATTGAATACGAGTCTCAAAACAGTTTTTCCAGTGTAAGAAGAAGCAGACCTTAAGGCAATGAGCTTTTGCTCATCTCTGTGCTGTGCCTCCTTGAGTTGGACGGCTTATATGCCAGGAACTTGGCTTCAGTAATCCTCCAAAGGGCTAACAGAGCAAAGATATGGAAGGAACCTGGGATCCTGAATGACTTTGTAGACTGGGACCACCCACCTACATGGTAAGCTAAGACAAAGATCCTGACTATAGTGTAGGCCACTTGTTTCTAAGAAATAACACCAAGATTTTTCGGAGGGGAGGGGGGAGCTTTCCAAAAGAAACTATTGTGTGAAAAAGAAAACAACAAAGAAAAAACCCCACAAATATATGCAGACACTTAAACGTGGGCACATGTGGACTTATGCGTACACACGGACTTGAATTTCAACCCAGTGTTCTGCAGAACCACACACCAATTCTATGTGTGTTCCACCGAGGGCTAGAACTGTGAGAGACTTTAACTTTTACACTACATAACTCTAGTTTCTTTATGCTCGGGAAAAATAAAGATTTAACTGAGCCTTGTTATTGGTGGTTTCACATTTGCAAATTCACCGACTCTTAAAATCAGGCCTGAAAACCCATGATCGAGGAACAAACTGCAGAGCAAAGCTAGTTGAGAAAAAAATCATTGGTACTGAACATGAATACGCCTTTTAAATTGTAATTTCACCTTAGCAATACAGTCTAAAACTGCATAGCGTTGTCATATGTCAGACACTACAATCAATCTAGAGATGCTTTAAGTCTACAGGTAAGCATTTATAGCTTAGATACAATACTATGACATCATGTAAGGATTTGAGCACCCGTGGATTTTGCTTAACACGAGAGTCCTGAAGAGTCCCCGAAGATCTTGAAGGATGGCTGAACATTTTAAATAAAATGTCTTTAAACAGAAACATGCATGCGATGCAGTTATATTGATAGATGGCTGAAAATGCGCTCAGGGACTTGCGGGAACCCAGCCCTGTGTTTTCTCTCAGGGCAGTGACTCAGGATCTGTAAAGTCAGCTCTCACAGTGACTTTATAGACCGTAACTACCGCAAATAGTCGGAGGCGGCTGTATTTAAAGCAGTTATGTGTAACAGCATCTACCAAGGCAAGGTACCAACACCCACGTCCCCCTAGGTAATGCTGGCTCAGGCCATTGGCAGGGGAAGAGGAGGGCATCTGTTTGAGTGACCCTCTCGGGCCAGGCACTGAGCTAGGTGCTTCTGGCCATTATTTATGAAAATCTCATAGCAGCCCCGTGGTGTTGACATTTTTATCTGCAATTGCAGAGCTGGCAACTGCTCAGGACTGCGAAGTGGTCAGTGTGAAACCAAATCTGGTAGGCGACAGAAGCTTCTTCACAGCCAGCTGCTGCCGCAAGCGCCACCAAGTTCGCTGTCGGGGCTGGCTCCTTACGCCATTCGCCATTCGTTAGACTCCAAGTCGCTTCTCCATTTCCAACCCTCGAGGTATCTATAGGAACCCTGCAAGCGCTGGGCGCCACGAGACAGTGTGAAATGAACCTACAGATGAAGTCAACGTGCGTCCATCTTCATCCACCTGCCTTCCCCCAGCGTCAGAAGGTGAAGCTGGCCTGAGTTCCCGCCCGCACCTGGGCCCTGGCCCAGTCCCCCCAGACCACCTCTGGGATCTGACCCTTTCAATTATCCTCTTCTTGACTCCATTTCTGCCTCCTTCCTTGCCACCGGCTGCTTTTCCTCAGGCTATAAACATGCTTAAGTTTCTCCCAAAAGGACACTCCATGGTTCCCACACCATGCCCCCCCCCCGCGCCCCCGCCAGCCACCACCCCTTGGTGGCCTTTCTCTAG